TGGATGGGCTATGTCAGCAATGTCCCTGCTGGCACATGACACAGTGAGGATAAGGGGGCACTGAGGACACCCGAGCTGAGAAGTGATCCAGAGAAGTCTGCCTAAAAAAAGGGGGAAGGTTACCTGATTCTTATTTTTATTTTTATGTACGTTTGTGAGAAATCATGAACACCTGTGCACACAGAAGTCTAAGACAGCTCTGTCAATAAGTCGAAAGTAAAAATCTTAATTAGAAAGCAGTATTGTGCAACAGTCAAACTGGCCACATACTGGTGTCCTGACACCTGGGGTACTTAGACTTGATGAGATGCCATATGTTTGATACCTTTTTTGCCTAGTCTCCTGACCCCTCAGCACCCCTTCTTTTATGATAAACCCTACTCCTGTTATTCTGCTTCTCTCACTTCTTATTTTATGGTCTTTTTCTTTGGTCCTGTGTTATATTTACCCCCATAAACAGAAAGGTGAAGAGGAGAGGCTTAAAGACATAGTATGGAGATATAAATTCTGGTGTTCCTACTTCCAGGCTGTGTGGCTTGGGATAGATTACCAAAATCTGGCTTTACCTCAGTGTCTGAATCTGTAGAGTGGGGACAATGATCACATCTACCTCACAGGGTCGTTGTGTAAATGAGAAAATATATGCAGAGTGTTTTCAAGAGTCCTGAGCATGTTACTATACTTTTTAGTGCTATTCTGTAATCAGATCAAGAATGTAAGCTTCTCTCTAGACGTTATCTTGAAAACAATGTTAGTTCATGAGTCGAAGGCCTCTCTTCGTGCATCCCCACGTCACCCACACTCTCTCCCCCCCCCAAACGCCCTCCCCCCGCCAATCCTGCCTGGCTGCTATGTGGCAAAAACTCGTGTTCCTCCAACAAAGACCCTCCCCTAGGGTCATCTTACATGTCATTTTGTTCAGTTTCCAAAACACCTCTGTGGGGGGGTGTTACTAACCTCAATTTTCAGATGGCAAAGACACGGGAAGATTAGTAACCTGCCTGAAGTCACTCAGCCAGGTGTGGGGAGTTGGGATTTGCATCCAGGTTTTTGTGCAAAATTTGACTGTTCTTCCATCCCTTCCATGTGATTCATGCATATCAGGGAATAAAAAGAAAGACAAGCCACATAATCACTGTATAACTACAAGTTTCCTCTTAGGCCAAGCAGTCATAATTCTCAGCAGCTCTGTGGGATTCAAAACCAGCTCTGAAAAACCTTGGACTGGAAGTTTTCAACTATTCCACTCTTTCAGGTTTTTTTGGTCTTTCTATTGATAGAAGGTACAAGTGAACTTTAGAGAAGAAGTAATTATTAGCAAGGACAAAATCACAGGTCACGAATTTACATGAAATGTTTCTATAAGGAAGTATGTCTAAATGCAATCTAAGAGGGAAGTTAATGTTTGTGTAGGTCAGTTTATCAAAATATTTCTAATTTCGTCTAGCAGTACCCATATGCCAGCATGTATGTGATAAGTATATTAATCATAGTTTGATTAGTTTTAATTGCAGAAATAGGTCGATATTTTCTTAGCTTTATCACAGGAAGAGAGGATAACCCTCTTATAATTCAAAAGAAGAAAACAGAACCAAAATAAAATCATAATTCAAATAGTGTGTCATTTGAGTATTTGTGTGTACCTTCACAAATGACAATGTTTAACACATTTCAGAAAAAGAAAACCTAAATGAATATGTAAATTCAGTTCACAAATTACTTCTATTTGTGGTTTTATACAAAATAACACAGGAAAGTAAGAGGACCTAAATAATAAGGAAACCATAACCCGAGGCGAACTTCTGATAAAGAAAAACTTGGTTTCCTGGGACTTGGGGTGAAAGGCAAGCTGTCTCCTTCCAACACAAAGGTCACAGGGTCCCAGCAAGTTCCCCGGGACCAGGAAATGCCCTGGGGGCCAACTCACACAACTTCAGTGGTTAGTTTCCTCAGTGTGTGGGAAAGTCCACCCCATCCTTCATTCACGCATCAATGGTCCAGGGTGAGGCAAAGGCAGGTTTACAGTTGTTCATATGGAAATAACACAATAATTAATAATAAGAATAAGCTCCGTGTTTCATGTACTCACAACTGTAAACCTACGATTGCCCCACGCTGCCTGAATGATTGAGCCACTGCAAAATGCAAGAAAATACACCCCCAGAAACACCACCCGTGGGGACAAGTCAGGTGGGTTCACAGCTCCCTGCAGGTTGCAGTGAAAAGCTGGACCAGGTCGCTAACTTTCTTCGACACCATGTGAGGTTACTCAGGTGCTGTCTGTTTCCCAAACCTTTCATGGGCTGTGTTAGGTAATGCTGTTCACTGGCCACTCTTATAGATGAGACAGTGAAGGTACTTAAAAAAAAAAGTGACTTGGCTACTCACCAGGAAAATCAGGATCAGATTCAGGGCTTCTGATTGAGAGGTCAGGATTTAGAAAAAAATCAAACAAATATTCTTCACTCAAAATGGCTATTTTTGCAAATGCCGTTACAGAGGTTAATTTCTAAAGTAAAGTTAAATTGATTGAGCACAATGGATGTAAAAGAATGCACACTGAATGTATACAATTCCCAATCAGTGCTCATTATTCAGCCAAGAAACAGATGAGATTCTTCAGATGTTCTGTTAAAGACACGGATATGTTTTCGAGCAGTGGAAGTTGGCCAAAAAAGTATCCGTAACTATGAGAATGCACTCTGTCCTCAGGCTAATTCTAGGAAGAGAAAAAGACTCATTTCTTTCATTTAAATTTGTTCAAGATTCTTCTTTTAAATTAAAAAAAAATCCTCAGTGGGGAAGTATATAGCCTGGAGACTAGAAAGTATTCATTTCCCAGGTTCAGCTGAGATGCTTTCAAAGCTGCCTTCTGTGAAGTGATTTTATTCATGATATTGTATCATCCGATTCTTTATTAAATGAACACTTATTAGGTTTAAAAATACATTTTATTGCTGCCCAGCAATATCATTGACTTTTCTAAATATACTTGATAGCTCAAAGAAGACTGGAAAATTTTTTTATTCAGGTAGACTTGGCATACAATATTGTATTAGTTTCAGGTGTACAACATAATGAGTCAACATTTATACATTGTGCAATCCAATCACCACACTAAGTGTCGTCATCATCTGTCACCGTGCAAGCTTGGAACAACGCCATTCCCATATCCAGCTTTACCACCCACCCCTCCCCACCCCCTCTTCCCTCTGGAAACTATTCATCTCTGTTTCTGTGAGACTGTTTCTGTTGTTAGTTCATTAGGGTTTTTTAGATTCCACATACAAATTAAACCATATGGTATTTGACTTTCTCTGTCTTATTTCATTTAGCATAATACCCTCTAAGTCCACCCATGTTGTCACAAATAGCAAGATTTCATTTTTTTGTTGCTGAATGACATTCCATTATATATATATACCACATCTTCATCCATCTATCGATGGACACTTGTGTTGCTTCCATATCTTGGCTATTATAAATATCAATAATGCTGCAATGAACATAGGAAAATACATATATCCTTTTGAGTTAGTGTTTTCTGTTTGTTCATTTTTAGATAAATGCCCACAAGTGGGACCACTGGGTGCTATGGCAGCTCTATTTTTAGTTTTCTGAGGCATCTCCACGCTGCTTCCCGACCGTAGCGGCACCGATTTACGTTCCCACCAGCAGTGTGTGAGGTCCCCTTTCCTGCACATCCTCACCAGCACTTACTCCTTGTCTTTCTGAGGACAGCCATTCTGACTGGTGTGTGGTGCTACCGCGTTTCCTCAACAGTTAGTGATGTTGAACATCTTTACCCATGTCTATTGACTGTCTGTGTGACTTTTTTTTGGAGAGGTGTCTCTTCAGGTAGGTCCTCTGCCCCTATTTTGTAGGTCAAGGAAGACTTGAAGCCTAAGGTCTCTGAGCTGAAAGCTCAGGTTGTCAGCACCTGCGGAGCCCTGGGGCTGCTGAGAGCTTCCGTTTGTGAACAAACACGTTCTGCTGCTACAGCTTGAAAAACACTGATCTAAGTCGAAGTTAACACCAGGGTAGAAAGAAGGGTGTTTTGGGAGATGACTTCAGGTGTACTTCCTAGGATCTGACATCAGACAGAGGTCGGAGGTCATGGGAAATCTCCATCGGCTGCCCCCAACCCCGGGTCATCACAAGCACATCACCAACTCCTGGCAACTCGGTGTCGTAACGACCTGACTTCCAAAGTGGATGAGCTTTTCCTAAGGTTCTTTTTCATTTCTAAAATTCAAGTTTTCACATACTTCTTTCTAAATTGACTCTCTATCTCCATGCTTTAAATTTACTTTCCTCCTGTATGCATTGGGAATAAAAACAGCCATTCTCAGTCCCCAAAACATCCCCCAATGCCATTTGTATATAACCCAAAACACTATAACAAAACTTTAATATTTGGGGGCAACTTACCATGCGCTCATTACTTTGCTAAGCATTTGCAACAATCATTCCATTTGCTGAAGATTAAGGTTGGGACTGAACCTAGTAGAGCCTTGACCTAGTGACCTCTGTGATGCCGCTTCTGTGAGGCTGAATCACAACAATCTTCTGGTGACAGAGATTGAGGGCGGTGGGCACCACAGCAAGAGAAATTCCACGTGGGAACCCTGCCCACCACCTGACACGTCCCACCTCCCCACCTCCCTCTGTGGTGGGCCACCATCACTAGCACAGAATCGCATGCACTTACCCTCAGGAATATTTCAGTTGGAACAGGGAGAAAGCCACAACATAAATAAATGTAACAATCTTATAAAAGCATCTAAGTATCCATCATAATGCTTTATTTGAACTGTGTATGCAAGGTGGGAAGCCTTGTTTTTTCCTTTCTTTTGAGTGAGAAGTCTAATTTCCCATGCCAACCATAACGCTATAGTACTGTAAACATTTATATATTGTCAGTTTAAACAACGCACACACTCTATTCCATTCATCAAAATGTAAATGATTACAAAAGGAGCCAAGGTGGAACCGTTGTGAAAGTCACATTTATTGAAGAACGAACATGTTTGCAAATCATGGGCCACAGGGGCATCCAGCCCACGGTTCACAATGCTGTTTCTTTATGCCTTCTTGTACAACCTCTCTGTAAAACAGTAACTGGAAGGGCAAGACTGAGTCCATTGCAGTTACATTCATAAAACCAAACCTGCAGCATACACTTAGAACGACTCTGTGCGCACCGACTAAGATGTGCACGCATGTCTGCATGGGCAGAAATGTCCCGTGAATCATGGCCCCGCTAACCCAAACAGTACCTCAGAACACTGTCAAGCTTAGGAAACAGGGAGAGACTGCAATGAACAACGGAAGCCCTGACATTTGTCCCAGTCACTACGCCACCCTGTCCACTACGCCTGTGACACGGCAGGTCACTTTTGGAAGAGGAAGGCGAATTTGTCTGGCAGAGGGCATGTTACGGAGCACATCTAGAAAAGACATGTGTCACCTTAACTAATATTTAAAAGTTGACTTTTTTTGGTTCCAGTGAGAGAAATATTGGTCAAATTGTCAAAAAAAATAACACCCAGCTCTTACTGTGAAATTTAACCACCGATTTCCCTCTAAAAGTTACCTTACAACAATCACAAAAAAATTTAAAGTTCATTTTCAGGGACTTAAACTACTTAAAAGAAAACATCTATTTTGATAAGTAAAAACAGTTATGTCGTTCATTTTTCTAAACTACTTTTTTCTTTTTTTTTTTTGTCTTTTAAGGGAATATCTAAAATAGTGATCATGGAGTAGAAACTTCATTTGATTTTTTTCTCCTTGGAAATTAATACTATAAAGTTGAATAAGAATTTCTAATCAAAGAATCTGAATAGTGTAAAACATTGATGTAGGAATATCTAATTGATGACCATTGAGGATATTATAAGAGCAAAATTAGAAATTCTAAGAGAGAAAGTCTAGCTGATTTGCTTTGCTCTGTACAATCAATTTTGTGTAATTTTATACAGCATCTGTTATGGCTTTATTCTAAACTCACATTGTCAGCTAATCTCTTCTAAGAATTCCCTGTTACTTGGCTCTTGGTCTGAATGAAGAACTTGTAATTTAAGGTCAGGCTCTAGATCATTTCTTATTTATATGTCTGGATATTATATTCCACTGTTTATTCCTTATTCACTTTGAAATTCAGAACTTTTCCACCTGCCAGAACATGGTCTTTGGACACCTAATTACTATATGTATAAAGTTACATAAACCAAATAGTCTATCCAAAAATTTAACTTTCTTTAACCTGCCCTTCTGGTAGTCCTCAATGCCCAGACAAGGGACCTGTTTACCACACTCCGACCCTTCACCGAGGACAGTCTCAGTTTTCCCGCAGGTGCCCCCCAGTCACGGGCACACCTGGCTTCTCTCCACAGTCAGCAGTTTGCTGATGCACTGTCACTTGCTTTACACCTTGGCTGACTTTACTGCAGAAGCAGCTTTGGGCGAGTGCCCCTTTGTACTCCTAGTTTGTAAGTCAAGTCACAAAAATCATAGGAAAATGCACATATGCCACTCACTGACTTGCACACCAAACTTACAAATCTAAAGCCTTTACAAAAGAGAGAAATTAGAGAAAAATGTGTCTATGTGACTGTCCCCAGACTGGCCGAGTGCTGGCCTTCCAAATTCGCCCCCTCTTGCACTCGGTCGGTTCCCATTTGCTCAGCGGTGACAGTGAGTGGCCACGGTCACCTTCCTCTTCTCCTTCCTAAAAGAAAGCAAGGGGGGGGCCTTATTCAGGGGGCTTAAGGCAGCAATAAGAATGTGGCAGTTTACCCTTGCGTTTTCTTGTCTGTTTTCAGGTAATCTTTGGAAAAAATAAAGACAGAGACTGGCAGTAAAGAAGGAAAGGAAGAGAGACATGAGAAGCTACTGGGCCAAGCACTGGGCCAAGACCCGTGCGGGTGTAGGATGCAGGACTCCTAAGCCTCTTAAGAATGATAGGAGGTATTATTGTGACCTAAGAATCTGACCAACTCCAAAGTAAAAACTCAATTCTTATTGTTTTGTTGTTGACTTTGCAACACCAAGGTGTTAGAAACTGCTTCTGTGTAGATGAAGAACAGACACTATTCTATGTGGATGTAAAGAAAGTTCTTTGGTGATTACGCATTCCCTATGCCAAGAAATATTTTCTGGTAATAAAATCTTTCTTTCCTCACCCCCACAAACTTTCTTTTAAAATGAATTTCAAGTAAATTTTGCTATAGTCCTCCAAATTCTTCAATATTAGGAAGTAAACATTTGTAATCGATCTCTCTGTTGTTCTAGGAAAAACATATCAACATAATCCCCTAGTTATGATAATGTATTTGTCCCTCAACTATTCCTTTTACATTAAAAGATTAAGAATATCATGAATGCTTGATAAAAGAAAAGACACTTTAAAAATGACTCAAGAGTAGTTATCGCCAGATACAATTCACGGCAAGACTATGATTTTCTCTTACAGTCTAGCTCTTACTTCATCCTGATTGCATTAGATTGCATCATAATGCCCACAATGACAGTAGTAGATTTATCAGAAGCAGGGTCCCTTCTGGTAACAGTTTGGCAAATGCATGTAAGGGTACATCTGTGAAATACATCTGCCACAGAAGCTGCACCTGGAAATGAGGTCTCTAACAGGAACCCACTTATTATCATAATAAATTATATCTATCATCTATATAGACCCTCCTCCACACTCTTTTAAAAATATGGCTTGTTAATTTTAAAGACTCTAGTTCACCAGAAAAGTTAAAGTTTGATTGGAGGATAATCCTTACAAAAGCACAAGTTATGTATATTTAAAGGACAACGGATATATGCTTTTAATTTCCTTGCATTTACATTAAGAATGAGACTGAGTTTATCTAGTATCTAAATTAATCTCTAGAAGTAGCTGAACCCTATAAATCTTGGATTTTTGAGGCAGTGTAGTAATCAAATCGCCTTTGGAGACCTCCCCCTTCCCAGGGACCAGCATGCACCAGAAAGAAATGCACACAGATGTCTTTCCCTTTGAGCGTCCCCAGCTCTTGAGCTTTAGAACACTTACATCTTATGGTAAACTTACAGCTCTCATGCACTTCTCCAAAGCACAGGGAAGATTCTACGGTACGGCTCTGCTCAGCTACTCTCAGAAGCTGCCTGTGACTCCGGAGCTTGCTGCATATCTCGTATCTTTTCTGATGATCTCCTTGTAACTCAATTTTTAATCCCAACAACATGGTTACTTTTTCTCAGCAGAAAATAAAACTGCCAATATCCAAAGGCAAGAACAATAGGAATCAGAAAAACTCCGGAGTCATCTTAATTCCCTCCTTCCACCTCATTCTGCCCTCCTTTTCCGCTGTAATTAAACAGGGTTCTTAACCCGCCAGAGGTGGCGGTTGATCTGAGAGATACAGACTCTTTTCTTAATTATTGTTACATCTATTGGGTACACAAGTTCAAGGTCATGACTAGCTTGGATGTTGTGGCTTCACATTAGTCACGTACAAAGGCAATGTGTAACAATATTTAAGAAAAGTGTTTGTATCTCTCAGATCAGCTGCGGCCTCCTGAAAGCTCACTGCCACTGCCCACCTCCCTGTGCCTACGGACCTGAAGCCGGAGGCCAGGAGCCAGGTGGGGTGAGGTTCTGCACCGGCCTGGCAGCGCCCACAGTGAGGAGAACCGGCCCCAAGAGCCACAGCCGACTCCTGCTCAGTCTGTACCAGCACAAGGCAGTCTGATTGGTCCTAACACCGAACTTCAGCCAGATCCAATTTAAAAAGAAAAGTTAGGGAAAAAATGGCTTCCTTTGGTCATGTTCCTTAATGTGTCAGCTTTATAAATGGACCTATATATGAAATGACTATATAAAGTACCTTAAAATAAGAATTCCGTCACCAAACTATTCAATATAAAATTATATAAACTATCTCAACCTATGAAAACACAGTCCTATATAAAGTGAAAAAAAAAACAGGTTGAAATACAAAATTAAAGCCACTCTTATCAAGTTAAAGGTTAATTTAAAAATAATGTAATTACTAGCTAATGCCAGAAATCTGCTATTCGTCTGATATTATACTTAAATTTCATTAAACCCCAAACCTTAGTTAACCTCATTTATTTTCCTCAAGAACTCATGGAATAAAGGGAAGAGTCCCAGAATATGCATGACGGTATCTCATAATGATGTGTCCTTTAAAAATGAACTCAGTACTTGTTAACATGTAGTATTTTGCTGCCTCATTTCTAGCTATTGTAAGTTAGTTACCCAGTAGACTGATTATTCCAGAGTTTTTCCAAGCAAAAAGTTAAGCTGATGAGTATTTCCAGGGTCACCATCCATTTCCCTTTTTGAAAGAAGGTCCTAAATATGCCCTTTTCCAGTCTTCAGGCACCTCACCAGTCCTCCACGGGTTCTCAAAAATGATATCTAGCGGTTCTGTGATGACTTCGGCCAATTCATTAAGTACGCTAGGATGCCAGCCATGGGGACCTGTGGATTTGAACATAGGGGGGTTACTGAGGTTCTCCTTCACCCATCCTTCCCCTAGTTCAGCATGGGTTCCTGCTCCTGCTTTTTTAGTCAGAGTTGTCCCTTTCTGGTTATCGCCTGGACTTTTGAAAAACAGCTTTAAGTTCTGCTTTTTTAATCTATTAATTTTCTCCTTGAAGCTAATACACAAAAGTATACTTTATTCTTCTCAAGCCTACTCTTCTAAAGTTTTATTTTAAAAGAGGTCTACTTCATTTGTTTTAAAGAGGTCTATTTCTCTTTTCCTTTGATGTTTCTTATAAGACAAGATAGTAACACAAAATTAAATAAACATGCATCATGTAGGAGTTTGCCTTCCTAAACCACATCACTCAATCTACACTTCAGCACCCGAGCTAATAGAATACCAGTCAACACACGGTGGAACGTTCTAAATGCCACACGTCTCATGCTCAGAGGGTGCATATCTAGTAAACTTGCATCTGCACGTGGTCATTCAAAATGCTCCTTCCAAAATAAAACCGATTCACAATCACTTTCCATCCTACTCATGTGTATGGAGAAGCAGTAACTTTTTCATACACACACACACACACATTGAAAAAGTATTGTTGTACAAGAGCTAGAAAGAGGCTGGTGAGGACTCTCAGAAAGCAGTAAGCGAGTAGAATTCGCGTGCAGTTGTGTGGTCATCTGCGTCAGTGCCTGGGGTTGACATTACACTAAGGATCTCCACGCTCCGATAGGTGCTGACAGTTTTAACCCCTTCATTGTCACAAGGAGTCTTACAAAATTGAAAGATGGCAACAGATTACAGCTCCCTGCCCATCTGTCACAGCCTTGCTGTGTGCCGAGACACCCTTGACAGATCTGAAAGGGACAAAGGAGAGGAAGAAAGGACAATGCAGGGAAGAGAGGACACCCGTCTTCCCCGACGTTCCTGAGATGACAAGGAGGATTCTGCTGTTTACTTGTTTTTGTGTTTGCTTTTACTTGGAAAAGTCTTTAGAAAAGGGGGAATCTATTTTGCTTTCTTTTGTTTTGTTTTTCTAGTCTGTATCTCTCACTACCTGCCCCCAGTTTTATGCCTTACAAAGTAATTCCTATTACAGGCATCATTAAAAAGACTCTCTGATAAACAATTGTACACACTTCTCTAGGGTGTGACAATTTGTTGGAGCACATGCCATTTGCACCCCTGCTCAGAGAGCCACCTGCTGATGGCAGTATGTTAACTAACATGTCATTACTAATTAGTTTGGGTAACTACTTCCAGCAGTTGCATTTGTATGGAAAGAAGGTATTACTATTCATGCTCGGAAAATTTCTTTCTCCAGAGAACTGAGCTATTTTCAGGCCTTTGTGTGTGTGTGTGTGTGTGTGTGTGTGTGTATGTGTGTGTAATTCTAAGTAATAATAACTTATAATTAATATAGTCAAATAGCCACTCAAAGAAACCATCAAGCCAATATCTCTATTAAAATCACCTTCTGTTACAAACTTGGAAAAAGTGACAGTTAATCTTTCTTTTGTGGGGAGTGAGGAGAATTTCACCTTAACATAAGGAAGGCAATAATACTCTTTGGTTTTTAACGCTTTACTTCGTGAATAAATGAAAAGACATAACACTAAAATCTAGTCACTCTGTCGTGCAAGATAATGCACTATTTCTATCAGGAAAACCAGAAAGAGCCTCAGGTTATAGCATCAGCAGTTACTAAGGGACAGAATGGGGCTGCCAAGCAGGGAGGCGGCATCTTGAAGACATTCTGATTGAAACAGAAGCCTCTCAGAGGTCTCCATGCTAGACACAGCTCTGCCTGCAGCCAGGAAGAGGGCCTCCCCTACCACGAAAGGTCGTTTTATTGTAGGAACGATGGAAATAAAGAAAATAATTTCAGAACGGTTATCATCTAGCAAGTGCAGACATCTTCCATACTAAACTTTTCTAAAGAGGAGGATTATAGGGTCATTCCAATCCAGCATCTAGCTCACAGCCTCCGAAACCTCTTGCGTCTGTGGTTCCACAAAAAGAAAAAAACTGCATTCATTAAACAAGCCCAGCCTTGCAAGTTGCTGTGTTTCATTCTTCGGGGGAGCTGGTGGGAGGCAGACAAACAGGATTTCCTCGGCTGGGTCGTGGAGAGTTCCAAGATGTGAGAGCAGAGAACAGTAATTAGCCGAGCACACGTGGCTTCACAACCACGGGAAACTCCAGAAACTTCCCCGGTGCGAGGGCTCCTCCGCGCTCCGGAGGCTGACAGGCAGGTGATATCCCAGTGCCTGCTCCTGCCTGACCCCGTTTCTACCCAAGTGCAATGGAAGCGAACAGATTTTTAAAATCCTGACCAACTTTAAGGAGCTCACTGCTGAAAAGAATTCTTCCGGGCCAACAGGCATTGCGGGTCCAGGCTCATTCCACACAGCTGCTCCCCACCCCCACACACAGTCAGGTTGCATTTTCCCCTAAATCACCTGCCCTACTCCTTACAGGAAAAAAAAGCTCCTTCTTCATGCCACCAAGGAAAACAATAGCCTGTTTATACATGTGTAGAGTTGTCTCTGGATGTAGTACTAGGCTGACTTAAAAATCCTGAAAGGAACGGCCTCACACCGGGTCCTTTCTCATGAAAGCCCACCTCTGGAACAATAAATAGCAAGTTATATTTTGGGTTCCATTAATGCTCCTGAAGTTTTGCTATTTTTATAAACAGAATTTATGACACACAAATGCCAGCAGTTTGTAAGATACCTGCCTATTTCTAGGAACCATTACGGAGAGGTTTATACTCAGGTTGGCCCCTCACCTGTCTCCCCTTACCTGTCTTTGAGACCACTTTTCAATCACAGAGTTCAGGTTTTAGGGCCACACAAACCTAATTCCTGAGCTGAACTGTGAAACTTCCTAATTTGTTCTAGGCTATTATGGGGGATGGGAAGGGTGAAGGGGAGCCTCACATGTCAAGATCTTGGGCAGTTCTCCTGATCTGAGAAGCGTGGAGGGGCAGGAAACACTATTTAATGAACAAAGAAACTATAATCCCGTGGCTAAAAATTGTGATTTGTGAGATTCCATTTTTCTTCTCTATTTATTATTCTGATTTTTAACTGATTTCAAGTCTGTCACTCTTTTCACTTGTGAGACCCCCTAATTAAAGGCAGTCAGAATCATGGGCAGGCTCACCCACTTAGAAGTTACTCCTCTATTGTGATACTATTCTAATGACGTATTAGCTCCAATACAGATATAGACCCAATAGACATAAATTTCCCACGCTTGGTTGCTGGGAGGAAAAAAATAATAAACCTGGTTACTATACATTGACAGTGCATGCAGTTCATTTACAACCGAGGGGCAACTATGTCGTAGAAAAACTTGACTTTGGAATGGTAGTGCAAATGCTGCTTCCTCTCTTCCTGGGTGGCTTAAGGGACACCAAGTGAACCTCTGGGCCCTTGGCCACAGGACATGAGATGTTTTCACCACGTGACTTTCTCAAGCTCGGTTTGCCAGCATTCGGCCATGTCACGGTGCCCAGCATTGCGGGGCCAAGGGAGGCTGGGGATCTGTTCAGAGACACATCTTAACTGTGAACTTCTCCGAGGTCAGGAACACGTTTTACACTTCTTTTATCTCCTGCAGGAACATTATCTATAATGTCACACACTACTACTGCTGCTGGTTGATTGACTCTTCCACACTATAATTTTCACACATCATTTCTCAGTAAACTAAGTTCCTCCTAGGAAATTTTAGTCAAGCACATCAGATAGGAGTATAAATTCCTTTGCCTCTACAAGGGAGAAAAAGTTATCAGTCTGTGTGCATGTTCACTAAACCCAGACGTGTCTGGATGGTCCACTCTCAGCCTTTGAAGGCCTCGGAGGGTCTTGTCTCAGTGGCTGCCACCCAGACCTGTGTCAGACAGGGCACACAGGTCCTGTCCCTGCTGGAGGAGACTTACAGGGTAGATGTCTTTAGATTGACTGACTGATTTTAGAGAGAGAGGAAGGGAGAGAGAGGAAGGGAGAGAGAGAAAAAAAACATAGGTTTGTTGTTCCATTTATCGATGCATTCACTGGTTGATTCTTGTTATGTGCCCTGACCGGGGATGGAACCTGCAATCCCGGCGTATGGGGAGGGCTCTCTAACCAGCCGAGCGATCAGTCATGGCTTAGGGACACTACAGACGAGAAAACTGTTCAAAGTCCTCCAGAATATCCTACACATGTGTATTTGTTTTACTTTGAACACAAATACCCAAATGCTGCGTACATGTTGTGGGCCACCATCCTGCCATCATCCACAGTGTGTCCTTGCAAAACACCGATTTACTGCCTGGCTCCTGAGCAAGATAAGTGGGTCTTAATAAATGGCACTGCTTCTCACTACCTCATCATGACCGACACGGTTCCAATCTTCAGGCAGGTCTTATCTGCAGGTTTTCAGCAAATGCAAAGTATACTAAAGAGGCTGGAAATTATCCCACCTGCTTATTATTCAGAAAACTCACAGAAATGAATTCAGGGGTTAAAAGATAAAAGTGCCTTTGTTTATGCAACCCTCAGGGCATTAACCAATTTAACAATTTTTTCCAACTGAATAACTATGTAAATCCCAATTTTCTAAAATCATTGTTATACTCATCACTGAATACTCTGAATATGCTAAATTCCCACACAGGGGTTGTGGACTGCAAGCCAGAACCACCTCCCTGCCTAGAGTTACAGCCACGTCTTATCTCTACCAGGAAGAAATTACCAGGATTTAACTGTTGGGATTTCTAGATTGTTCTTTCAACAATTTTATAATAATTAACAGCTTGTCACAACATGAAGCTGGGGCTAGGTCGCTATTCTTTCCTGAAACTTAAAGAACAGTTAAAGAGACAAAGTGTTAGCTGGAGGGGCCAGTGCCTTCAAGAAAAAAGAGGGAGTGTGGGCATGTTTATAGATGGAACGAAAGGATTCTATGGAGAGAGACTAAATGCAAGAAAATA